GGTGGGAGACAGGGGGAGCTGGCCTGAGGGGTTGGTGGGAGACAGGGGGAGCTGGCCTGAGGGGTTGGTGGGAGACTGGGGGAGCTGGCCTGAGGGGTTGGTGGGAGACAGGGGGAGCTGGCCTGAGGGGTTGGTGGGAGACTGGGGGAGCAGCGCCAGAGCCTTTAGGGCTTCCGGTGCAGGACGGCAGGTTGAGGGGCTCTGGGCTGGGGTCCCTGGCTGCTGGGCCTGGGGAGCAGCCCCCAGGAGCCAGTTTGCATGTGAAAGGCCAGCCCAGGGCAGCTTCTGGGGGGGTCGCCCCCACATCAGCAAAACCTCAGAGGGCAAGGATGAGGGCTGTAAGCAGGCAAACCAGGACCCATGCAGGGCCGCTGAGTCCCTCCTGCCCCCACCTGCCCCCACCCTGAGCCTCTCCCCTCCTGCGGTTCAGCCCTGCCCAGGGGCAGCCTGGGGCCCCAGACCCCTCTGGCCCTGAGAACAAGCATCAGCCTCAGTCTTTCTGATACCGCAGAAACCGTTGAACCAGGGAAGCGCTCTATCTCCTGCGCCAGCTTCTCGGACAGGTGTCTGTGAGCGCACGATGACCGAGCAAGCGCGCGAAGGCGAACACACTAGACACGGCTGTTGTTGCGCTCCCCCTTTACCCGGAGGGGCACACCCTGCCGCCCCTCTTGCTGCGGAGCTGTTGCAGGGGCCTGGGGTCGGCCAGCCAGCCAGTCCCGGGCTCACACACTGTCCCCTGGGGGCCTGGCCTCGCCCCAACCCCAGCTGCAGAGCAGGCAGGGGCGGTCCCCGTGGGCTGCAGACCAGCGCTTTGGGGGGAATCCTCGGGGTTCCCCGCTGCTCGCCACACCCCCTTGTCTCTGGGGAGCGCGAAGTAAGGCAGAGCATGTGAGCTTTCTGAGATGTGGTTTCGCCTCCCTCTCAGGTAGTGATACTGTAATCTAGGACGCAGAAATTTGTGCTGTCCCCTCCTTACTGACCCTTCAGTAAGGCTGTTCCTTATCGCCTCCGGGGTTCCTAGAAGTCGCCCTCTGGGTCCTTGAAATGAGCAGCTGCTGGAGAGTGTCACCGGCTGAGCCACTTTCACCCGGCGACTCACCGAAGCCTGTCCATGTGCCCTGGGCCCGAGCCAGAAACTGCCCTTGGGGGAGCTGCCGAGCCGGACACTGCCGTGGACCCCTCTGTCGGGACTGGTCTCCCTTGTTCACACTAGCGGGGTAAACAGGACGTCCGCTGAGGCCCCCGGGGGGAAGCCGCCCAGCACCCGCCTGACGCACCCCGCCAGCCTGCCCAGAGCCAGGGCTGCCGCGTCCTCGGTCTCCGACGATGAGCCACGGAGGGGCCGGTACCGAGGTCGTTTGCACTGCTGGGTTGGGAGAGCAGGGTCCTTGGTTCACTCTGGGAAAGGGTTCCCCGCAGCTCCCCTTCGGCACCCGTGAGTTTCTCCCCAACACACACACAGCCACAAGGCAAACGTACCGTGAAAGGAGAGTGGAGGACACCTGCATGGACACAGGTGGGCAGACAGGGCTGCCGGGGAGGAACAGTGTGCTAAAAGTGAGGGCCCAGGCCGGCAGCCTTGGGAGGAAGCTGCCCCTGCTAAGGGAGGTCAGTGAAGAGAAGCCCCGGCCAGGCACAGGTTAGGGCAGGCAGGGGGCTGCTTGGAGGAAGAGTTGGAGGCGGGAACCCCGCAGAGGTGCAGGCTGGCTGAAGCCTCTGCCCTGACAGACTGGGGCTGCCCTGACAAACTGAGGCTGGCCTGACAGGCTGAGGTTGCCCTGACAGACTGAAACTGGCCTGACAGGCTGAGGTTGCCCTGACAGACTGAGGCTGGCCTGACAGACTGAGGCTGGCCTGACAGACTGAGGTTGCCCTGACAGAAGCTGCCCTGACAGGCTGAGGTTGCCCTGACAGACTGAGGTTGGCCTGACAGGCTGACGCTGGCCTGGTAGGTCAAGGATGGCCTCATAGGCTGAGGCTGCCCTGACAGGCCCGAGGCTGCCCTGACAGGCTGAGGTTGGTCTCACAGACCAAGGCTGCCCTGACAGGCTGAGGTTGGCCTGACAGGCCGAGGATGGCCTCACAGGCTGAGGCTG